CCAGTGCTATTAGTATAAATTGGAAACGCATTTTAGGTGGTTTAGAGATTAGCTAATTACTTGCACAAAATAACTGCTCCGTCAATAGGTAGGGCAGTATTTCCACTCATGATATATTCGAATGGAAATGGTTTCGACAACAGGGAAAACAGTTCTGCCTTAGTGAGCACACTTTGACATCTCCTGTTAACTATTTTGTTGCATCTTAAACACAATTACTGCTGTTGTATTTTAAGAGAAAATTTCTCAAATGGTTTCGAAAACTAATGACTGTTCGATAACTTAAATAGTGCAATACTACATCTATCATATAGCATTTTGACCTGAGATATTCATGAGCAATTCACTCATCTGATACTTAGTTTTGAGCAGAAAAGGGCTTGAAATATTTCTTTCAACCAAAATTGGTTTCTTCTATTAAGTATCGCGATATTTAGTTAACAATCGTTTTTAAGAAAGCCCCATACTTTGAACTGCTTGTTTTAAAAATATTGCATAATCCAGGATGTCAATTGATTAATTGCAAGATTATGATTACATCTAACAAAACTTCTTAACATGAATGTTTCAGCACAATTATTTTCACTTAGTAAAACCCGAACAAAATTTTGGATAAATTGTATCTAATTGGAAGGTGTGTCAATTTCAAATAATTAGAACCATTATTTTAATATTGTTTAACACGTGATATAGATATGCCAGATCGAGCACACATATATTTATACTTCACTTTGAGGTCATGCGGTCGACGTGATCGTGGTTGCGCGAAACAAAGTAGGCAGACTGGGACGCTTGCACACAACCATATCACACCCAATACCTGCCAACCTCTCCCCCTCCCCGCCCCCGGCCTCCCTCCCCAAATATTAACACACATGTACAAGATGTCAGGAGTTCTGTGTCTGCGAGTGATATTTTTGGTGCTGACATGCGAAGACAAATGACAAACGTGACTGTTATTGCACAAAATCCTCCACAAATTCGTAAATACCACAATATTATTTAATATGAATTTTACTAACATTGGATGAAAGTTTTCAATCCGAATTGGGTCTTGTAGTAATTTGTTAAAGCTAAACATGAAAACGACTTAGAGAAAGAAAATTTTATCACCCTCATTTGAACGGAGGGAAACAGTGTTAATTGAAGTATAAGGAAAAAGGAAATGGTACCCCATATAATACTAATTTGTTGATTTGTTATCTGATGGAGTGAAAGGAGACGGAAATACAACAGAAAATATAAAATCCAATATTCGTTGGTAGTGGGGTATGCGATAGACTTACCTCCACTTGGTGCACCCTGGGCAACGTATACTCATAAGGCAAAAAAGGCTATTAACTGACAGTTGAATTCTCACTTCAAACTACCATCACCTCACTGTATGTCATATTTGACTACTTCCACATTACTCACCTCACATTTTTTCTACCTTTGTTTCAGTCTCTTTTACATCTGTGAATCACTCTTCTATCCCCCCCATCTCAATTTTTTCACTTTGATGTTCCTTCCCCTCTGTGAAGCCTGACCATCTCGACCTTTACTTTGATGTTCCTTCCCATCTGTGAAACCTGAAGACTTGTTTTCACTTTGATGTTCCTTCCCCTCTGTGAAGCCTGAAGGCAACTAAAGGGCTAATGATAACCTTCAAGATGCCTGCCATTATCACTTTGATGTTCCTTCCCCTCTGTGAAGCCTGAAGCCTAAAGGGCTAATGATAACCATCAAGACGCCTGCCATTTGTTAAGGGCTAATGATAACCATCAAGACGCCTGCCATTTGATACAGGGCTAATGATAACTATCTTCAAAACTCCTGCCATTTGATATAAATAAATAAATAATTGGGAACAGCCTGCCATTTGATATGGGGCTAATGATAACTATCAAAACGCCTGCCATTTGATATCCTAATGATAGCCATCAAAACGCCTGCCATTTGATATAAACAATTAAATACTCGTTGGTGGCTCATTGTCGTGCACAAAATAGAATAACTCTAAAATTTGTCGGCCACTAATCGATTCGTGATCAGGACTTTTTTACTGATTATTGAAAGAAACAGCAGTGGGAATTAATTGAACTGCCAATTATTTGGTAAAGACCTCTAATTAGATGAGAAATTTTGCCTCGACATTTCGCTTGTAATACAGAGATAGACAAAGGTGTCAGTTCCTTGTATTGGATAGCTCTAGAATTCGCCATTCTGTTCCCCTCTAGCAAACCCTTATGTTGACAAACTACACACACCACTATTCTTCTATTACATATGTGTGCACATTTTAGACAATGGAAAATTAACTGGTCCACTTTACACAGCCGATTGAGGCTAGGTCACATGACACATCAAATTTGCTACATAATTCAAATAATTTTAATCTATAAGCAGAAAGGGTTATACCGCTATACTTATTAAAGATCATAACAGGTTTAAAATCATTAGTTCGATTAAGTAAGCCTACTTGGAAAAGAGTTTTCAATTTACTTTAATGATTTGAATAGAAAGTGATTGCTTTCATGCAGATTAGTGAGTTTAAAAATCAATAAGTTACTTTTCTATCTTTTTCAGGAGAGGAAAGTTGTCACGGATTCATTATTTACTTTCTGAATGTCTCGTCTTTTCTGTCCCTACTTATTCTTCATTATTAGTAGTATTTTCATTAGATTAACATATTAAAATGAGTAATTTTAATTGGAGGCTTTGCATATTAGAACAAAAATAAATACTAACCTTTATAACTCGACGTCTTCTTTTCCAAATCCTTCATGATATTGTTGGAGATGAGGGGCAGATTGAAGTAGAGAATCCGAACTTGACTTAAGCACTCTACGAGGACAAATTTATTGAATCTGGTCTCTAGCACTGGTTGAATGTCTGGATGCTTGCGAGAATATTCTCGGATCATGGCTTTCACACTATCCAACATGTTGGTACAAGATAGAGCCTGACAATCACGAACCCAAGCCTAAGTTTAGAAATTATATAAGTGAAATTCTTTAAATTTTCATTCTACGTCAAATTCTTATTGCATAGTATTTCTTCCCTTTGCTAGGTTTTAACCAAATGTAAGTCGATCACAAATTCTATTGGAAAGAAATGAAACTTAATAATGCCAAAAGGAAGAATTTATCTCAATTTCTTCCAATAGATACGATATGCATAGAAAAAGTGGTGAATTCGTTATTGTAAGACACTTCAAAATACAAAGGGAATTCAAGGAAAGTAATTTTAATTTTAATCGAAAAATTATTCATAAAAAATAATAGATGATTACTTTGAAGTTGTCGAAAGAGTTACTAGTAGATGCATTAACAACGTGGAACTAGGAACCATTTCCATAATAAGCAAAAAATCCCA